GTTTCAGATTACTTTAACAAAAATGTGTTTACCAAAAATCATCAAGGCCAAAATAATACTGATAAAATCAAATTTAATTTTTACTATTTTTACCGTAAAAAGCATTCAATGCTTTTACATGAATCCTTATAAGATTATTTGGTTAAGTTTTATCAAAAAATGGGTCTGTTAAATTTTAAAGATTTAACTAAAGCTCAAAATATGGTAAAAGGTATGGATGAAAACATGAAATCAAATAAACTGAGACGTGTTATATGCGACAAGGCGAAAATTTCCCAATTACTTTTTAAAAATTTAAGCGAATGTAAAGGTGAATGTTTGAGAATTATACATTCCGACATATGTAGTCGAACTAACGAAAAACTAACACGCTGCAGCCAAATTTACCCAAAAGTCTATGGGCGGAAACTGTAAATACAGCAGCTTTTATTCGAAATAGCAGCCCTTGTATATTATTTTTCTGGCAAACTCCAACTGAAATGTTATTTGGCAAGATACCTGATATTAATTTTCTAAAATTATTTATTTTTGGTTGTAGGGTAGTTGCTCTTTTAAGATGTCCAAATAAATCAAAATTAGAGAAGTCAAACATTTGTTGGCTATTGCCCTGAAACAAAAGATTATCGTCTGCGGGCTACAAATCTATTATTTAAAGGCGTGTTGTACGATGTTTTGCAATATTCAACCTATATAATTATATATACCTGAAGAAGTAAATTTGTTATTGGAAAATTTGTTTTGAAATAAAAGAAAACCTGATAGACCACCTGGATATTGGTGGTGATATACAACAAAGTGAAATACAACAAAAGGAAGCTTGTGATACACAAAATAATGTTAATACTAATGACGAAGACTGCAATTTTGAAAATGTATATGAGGAATTTTTATATCCGAATTCTGAACCATACATTGAAGTATTCGAAAAATTTGAATCACCTAAAAATATAAAAAAATTAAATTCTGCTTAAAGTGGAAGAAAATGTGGCAAACCAAAAATTAATGTGGGAAATCAAAAAGGCTAAAAGAAGGTCCTAAAGAAAAAAAATACTTGGAAATCGTTAAGTATAATGCATGAAAAATTATGCGGATAGCTCTCCAAAATATAAAGCGCGTCTAGTTGTCAAACGTTGTGAGCAAACAGTGGAAATTGATTGTAACAAAGTGGATTCACCTGTTGTGAGATATGAAATTCGAACCGTATCTGCATTGTGTACTGAGCTGGAACTCTATTTGCATCAGATGGATGTGGATACGGGCTATGTTTAAGGAGATCTTGATAATGAAATTTATATGAAGTTATCTCAGATATTGAATGTTCAGCGAGATGTTTCAAAAGTGTGTAAATTACACAAAACCACTGGAATTGCTAAAGCAAGCTGCGATATTATGATACAAGAAATTAAGTACCTTTCGTTAAATATGTTGCAAGCAACTGCTGATGAATACTTTTATATAAAATACGATGGCAATTTTATTATTCTTCTTTCGATTTATGTAGATGATTTACTATTAGCATTAAACAATTTAGTAAAAGTAAATGCGATGAAGAAGCTTTTATCATCAAAATTTGAAATGAAACATATTGGAGAAACAAGGAACAGTCTTGATATAGCAGTTGAACGTAAAAATGAAACTGGAAATGTTATAACTCATCAAGAGCTATAAAAATTCGGTATGCAAAATGCAAATTCTATAACAATACCGCTAGATGCAAACTTAGGTCACGTATTGTAATCGAAGTCTACAAAGAACGAAATAAATGACAAGCCATATCGTAAATCAGTTTGTGCGTTAATGTGATGCAGTTGATGCAGTTAATGTGCTTGTAATGTAATTTACAAGTAATCACTCTTTAATTCATCGGAATGCTGCTGATGAATTTTGTGCTGTCTTAAAGATTCTTCATTTATTAATAAAGTATATGGCGCATATTTGGTGGCGGTCCAATTTTCTAGAAATTAAAAAAACAACAGGTTTAACCAAAACTGCTTAGGAAGTAATATATCAAAGCAAATTATTCCGCGATTTAAAACTTACGTTTTGCAAAGGTAAAACATTTATATTCTACGAAAATCGAAGCACAGTGAATTTTTCGAAAAATCCAACTCACCATAAGAGTTCGAAACACATAAATATCAAATACCATTATAGCAAAAAAATATAAAATTCGAAACCAAGTACATACACCAAGTAAAGTGCATTTATAAGAGGAGCCTTCAAAATTAATTCCTCAATTTTCTATTTGGATATCAAAGCACTTTATCGTATGGTTAAACTAAAATTTCTTTTTATTTTTATTAATGTATTGCACTCATTACTCGTTTTACGGAACTCTAGTATGTTCCGAAAATTTTGTCCGTGAATCGAATCTTTTTACTTACATTACGTTACGGCCACATAATTTTTTACCTAAGCTTGTATAAGTACATAATTCTTGTTAATTTGCAAAAAATATAGTAGGATTTTATTATTATTACAACATTAGACAACAAGAATCATTTTTGCATTTTAAAAATATTCCGTAAATCGAATATTTTATCCGTAAAAAGAGATTTTGGATTAATTTTTTAATTCCGTTAAACCGAAATTTCGTATATCCAACTTGCGTTAAGCGAGGGGTAAGTGTATATGATTTTGTTATTGGTTTCATTTAAGCATATTGTTTTATTCTTATTTTCTAATTAAAAACCTCAACTTAATCTTCAAACAAAATTTTCAGCAGAACTTTTCAATCAAAAAAGGGCGACATTTCCATTAATTTCTTACTGTCTAAACTACTTACATAAGGGCCGTTTAGCGGTTTCATTCGTCTAAGAGAGTCCTTTTTGAAACAACCCAAGTTCAATAACAGCTTCATCCAAAGTGCTTTGAATTTTGTGTACCGTGGATGTTCTAGAATACACTAGAGATACCAATCCTCGCCGAATCGTACCGTAGCTGTAATAGGCTTCGAAAATGTTCTTTAAAAGACTTGCGACAAGTTCAAGAATCCATTCATGCAGTTGGTCTTATCGATAGTAAGGCCAAAGCATTCTGGTTATATGCCCAATAGAACAAAAAGTTTTCTACATTTTCTATTGTATTTTGCTATCTATAGTTTTTACGAGTTTAATATCGGCCTTAACCATTTTATTTAGGTAAAAGCAAATGCATGTAAATGCATATGTTTGTGATTTTAAATAAATTTTTTTATTAAGCATTTTTTTAAACCTCTACATTGAAGTATATTTCTGGGTAGAATATTCGATGATATCATATGAAATTCCAAGTTTATAGTTTTGATCGCCGACGAAATAGGACTTGTTTGGAAGTTCAGTCAACCAGCCTTCTAATTTCAAGAATTTAGCTGTAATAAATTAGTGTGAGCAAAGAAGCAGTTGCTCGGTGGCTCATGGGATTTAAATTGCAATATATTTCCAGACGCAACGCATCACTCGACAACTTTTCCTCCAATTTCAAGTATACGACTTTATTCGATCAGCTTGGACAGAAAAGGAGTCGTTGGGCAGTTCATTAAACCAAGCTTTCCTCAACTTTTATATTGTAGTATATTTCTAGGCGCAACACTTGACAACTTTTTCTCTAATTACAAGAATGTAGCTCTAATAGATTAGCGTGAGCAGAAAAGGAGTTTTTTGAGAACAGGAGAACCGTCCTCAAACTCCACATTGTAGTATATTTGTAGGCAAAAGACTCGACAGCTTTTCAAAAAAAATTAAAGTATGTAGATTTAATAAATTCAAAATATTAGCTTTCGCTAGGGAGGAGTTCTATGGAAGCTCATGGAAACAAGCCACCCGGAAAAAACGCTAAAATATCGGACTTAGGACTCCATACAAAATTTAAAGCCAAAAGGACTTATAAAAATAGCTAAAAAATTGGTTAAAAACCCCAGACATCCGGTGTGAGTTAATACTAGGATTATAAAAAGAGGCAGAAAAGTAAAGAGAGAGAGAGGGGGAGTGAGAGAAAAAAAAGTTCAAACAAAAGTTCAAACAAGTGAAAATAATTTTTAGTAGGCATCCGACTTTTTTTTTTATGTTCTATTTTCTTTTATTTCCCCTTTTTTTAAGGGTCTCAATTTAAGTAGAAAAAGAATTAATATTTATGTAAGATCTTTCCTTTTTATTTTACCCCCTACCGGATATGTTAATCGATCAATTTTCTATTCTACTTCTCACTCAATAGTTAGTTGTTATACGAGTAATAGCGGTAATGGCAATGGCGTTGACCGTTCAAGATAATTTGCTAATAATACTTAATTGAGAATTTTTTATATTCTTAAAGAAAATAAGTGCAAGTTTGTTACAATTTTTATAAACTTTCTTAATTTCTCAGAATGAGTTATTTAAACTAATCTTTTCTCGAATAAAATCTTCCTTATATTTATTTCAAAAATTTCTGAATTGTTACAAAAACTCTTGCTAAATTATAAATCTTTATATGTTCTTAGTCATGAAAAGGAAGTGTGCCACCAGTTATAAATGTAAGGTAAGAAGTGGATCTATTTCAATCAAAACTTTAAAAAATTGCATGCTCTGAACGATACTTTTCGAAAAAATTACATATTATTCAACATACATATATCGAAATTTCCAAAAAAAAAACATTGTAGATCATAAAAATCTTTTTTGCAGTGAATAGGTTTTCTATGGGCTCGTCATATTTTAACTAGAAAGGTGGAGCTAAAATTAATAAAATTTTTGAGATTAAGTTTCCTGTAAGTATATTACTCGAAATAATTTTTTACAATATCTTTTTTGTTTCGTAGTAAAAATTTACTCATGTTATATACAATGATTGAATTTTTTAATTTATAAAATGTCATTATAGGAAAAATTACTTAAAAGTTTGATTTATTGCAATTAGGTGAGGTATTTTATATAAATGTATGTTTTGTACTTTATGTATATGTACAAATTAAGAAAAAATAATAATATGTAATTATAATTATAGTTAAATTTATTTAAAGAACTTAAAATTAAAATATTCAATACCTTAAACTTGGCATGCTTTTGCCTTTTGTCAAGTTACTTGGGGGTTCCCTTGAAATCAATGACGCTGATCTCGACAACTGTTTATCGCCAGTATCTAAACTTCTGTGGCATTCCTTAAATATAAAAACTGGTTCTTGTGAGTTTTATTTTTATTATTGTAAAAAACATTGCTACCACAGAAAGCACAGAAAATTACCGTTTGTTCTAAATGTTTCCCATTACTGCCTGGATCTAACCCAACTTTTTCTAAAGCTCTATCAGATTTTGAAAACATTTTTGTTTCGATCAAAGTCCTTAAATCAGCCATTTTGACTTTTTTCTTTTTTTCAGATCCTTTTCGTTCAGTCGTTGCAGGAGCGGCAGATACAGTTGAAATTTTACCAAGACTGCCACCCAGACTTCCGCCAGCACCATTTCCACCGCTACCAAGACTTCCATTTGCACAATTTGTACCCTGCTCAATGGTATCAACGCCGTCATTTACAAAACCAACGCTAGTTCCGCAACCAACACTTGAAGTTTCATCTAATTTTCCGATATTCGAATTAAACGGGGATTCTTTGTCAAATATTTTTTTTGTTTGGTTTTTATATGTTAGAATTTATTAAAATTTATAAGCAAAATGAAAATTAAAAACCAATGAAAAGAAAAGAAGTAAAAAAGGGAATAAATAAAAAGCAATCAAGCAATGTTTTTAATGCGTGCTGCAGTATAATTGTGATTTATACATTTCTATGTCCAAAAATAGATATTACAAGTTACCATTAATCGCAGCAACGGATGGCTCTGGAATTTCAATATAGTGTTTAGCAATTGAACTTGGACTTTCTCGATTATTACCAGTGGGTCCTTGATATAGGGAAATTTCTATTTGAGGGATAGGTAAAGAATTGGAACGTTTCCTGGGTTGTAATGGTGGTACTATGACTTCTTCAGATATTTCTCTTAATCTAAATATATTTTTTAAACAGATTTTTTTTTAAATTAATATAAAATGAAATTAACCGAATACTTATAACCTGTTATAAAGGTAATGAAGGCTCCAATAAACACCCTCTTCTTGCCAGTGCGAAATGAATAGGCATCTCAAAACGGCAACGTCCATAAATGTTGCAGCACCAACATCATATTTTCCAGTATCTTCAACTTGCATTGGTTTGTCTTGAGACATTTCAGCAGCTGAATCTTTTTCTGTTCTTTCAGTAGAAGAACTACCTTTGTGACTTGATTGCCTTTGATATTTCTGCTCTTGAATTCTTTCTTGATCAAAATCAAATTTTGTTGTTTGTTTTTCACGTGACTGAGTTGATTGTTTACTACTTCGTCTACTTGGCGATTGTTGTAAAACACTAACATCAGCCTAAAAAATTTTTTAAATAAACAAAGTAAATTATGAAATTAATGTGCTTTAAAATACCATATAAAACGATGGATCAGTTAGATGCGAGCCAGATGGAATTCTAAATATGACAACTCGTTCTTCTTCTATGCTTGATGCTTCTTCAGGTATAGTTTCAGGAAAAACACTATCTTTTGGCGAAGAAACCCAAGACCCCTTTTAAAAGATAATTGTTAAAATGAAATGATATCACAAAAATAAGACACTCTTACATCTTCATCGTGTTTATTATTATCAGAAAAAGAAACACTTTGAGGAGATTCAACATTGGGTGAGGTTACATTCTCTGAGCTGGGTTTTCCTTTAAATACAAACGAATAATTGTATTGTTACATTTTATGAATTTTATTTTAGAAAATATAACCTGCGTCTCTTCCTCCCGGTGAACTCAATAAAATTCTTGCTTTTGGTTTCACTGCTGCGCCAAAACATGGAGCACCCGGACAACGATGCTCCCACATTCCTTGCCATAATTTTATACCATTTTCAAGCCGGAAATTTTGAAAATCCGATTCTTTCAAGTGGTGAATTATAGGTGCAAATAAGTAAACAAAGAGCTTTAAATATAAAAGTATTATGGTTATAAGTAGTCTTTGTTACTTTTGACAGTTGAAAAATAATTGGAAATTTTATTAATTTTGACAGTTGAAAAATAATTGTAAATTCTATTACGTCAAAACTAGTCATTATGTTCTTCTATAATCTTATATAAAATTATTGTTTATTGTAGTAGATTGTGTATGAACACTTAAGTTATCGCAGTTAAGACGTTGTATTATATACAAACGAGTGACTTTTTTCTTGTTTGAATTTCAAAAGATTTACTTCGGAAATTTACGTGAATCATTGAAGTTTCCGTCATCAAATGAACTCAGTTTCGGTTTACTCTTTTATCAATGACATTCCAAGCACAAAATCTCATCTGAGATTGTCAAATCTAGATGAGATTAGGTGCTTTTACGTCTTAATATTACTCAATTTAGGAGTACGGGGAACTTTCTTGTTTATATCAAGTATTCGACATCGTCTATAATTTTGTAAAATAACAAAACCGTTTTGTGCTTGTGAACTTAAACGGCATAAAATATCAAACTAGAAGCTCTGTTAACATTGCGTATTTATGTTCATAAGTAAATTTAATTCAACAGGGTTAAAATACATGTCAATTGTAAAAAAATCTTATTTTGAAAAAACACAATAAAGCCAAATAATTGAAAGAGTCAACTGGAAATAGTTTGGCTTCTTTGTTATATTTAATTTATTCCAATTCGTTGTAGTATCCTACGGTAGTGGAAGTTACTCGGGAATTTTATTCATAGGATTCACAAATTGCTTTTAAATGAAACACTATGATTTTCCGTGGCGATAATATGAGAGGAGGAGGAGGTGGAGATGGAAAAAAATTTTAGATTTAAATTCAGATAACAATTTTCTACTACGGAAGTAAGTTTCTATCTATGTACTCGTACATATGAAATTTCAGCTTTATATCTCCAAGGATGTAGAAGTTTGTAAATATTTCCACGGGCGGACAAACGGACGGACGCAAGGGTCGACGAACGGACGGGCTATTGAACGGACAGAGTGAAACTAATAAGCACTTCCTTTGAAAAGGTTTTTGGAGAAGTGCTAAAAAGTAATATAAATTGGCGTTGCGATATGTGGTATAAATTTTTTTAAACGACATATTGATTACATTAAACAACTCAACCAATGAGATTACATCTATGAAAAATATTTTAATGCAAATATCTGGTAATTCTAATAATTCAAATTCTTTTAGTATAACCTCATTGAAAATTCCTAATATATAACTTTGATAATAATATTTTTGATAAAAATTCTACATTAAAAAATTTCAACTTTTGTTTTTTAAACGAAAGATTAATTTGGAAAAATATATTATTCTTTCTAAAAATTAAATAATTTAAAAAATTTTGTTGCGTAAAAACAATTATTCTAAATTCTAAATTTCTTATTATTATTTTCCCATTTATTTAATTTCCAAAATTGCTAATTTGTCAAACTTAATATTAACGCACATGTATTTGCAAACATTATATTTAGTTAATGTAAATATTTTCCTATACATAACTTTCTCACAATATTTTAGAAGGAGTCAAATTACATACATATATTCTGTTTGTTAATTTTACTTTAAGTAAATTTCAAACCTATATGATAGGTATGTTAAGTTAAAATGGGAAAGTTATGAATTTTATAAATGAATAAAATTGCTTACTAGTTTATTTCTGTACGAAATAATTAATTTTAAGTAGCATAATTTATGCATAAATAGGTCAGATTTTTAATAAATAAATTAATTAACTTCAAACCAGCCAACAAGAAGTTTTTCAATTAAACTCTCTAACATTTTGGGGGCTTAACCAAAAAATACAAAAAAATGTCACAAAACACAACTACGAACAACAGGCAAACTCCAAGAAAATCCCAGAATTGACAGCTATGTTACAACTCCTGGAAACAAGGTTTCAGGCGTTAGAAACTTTAGGGGCCCGGCAACAAGACCAAAACATGAAAAGCGAAGCAACCAAAGGTATCACAGAATGATAAAGGTAAAAGAATGTCCAATTTGTAAAGAGCAGCATAAAATTTACTCTTGTCAAAAATTCAGAGGCACGACTATTACTCAAAAATGGGCAGCTGTAAGAAGGCACAACTTATGCTCAAACTGTCTCAGCAGCAATCATGTGAGAAACAAGTGCATTTCAAAGAGCACTTTCATGAAATGCAGCAAAAATCATCACAGCCTGTTACTTGATAAAAGCAGAGTAAAAACACATAATACACCTAGTAATTCAGGTGAGCAATCATATAACTGCGTCATACCGAAGAATGCGACAGTCTTATTACCTACATCAAATGTATACGTTAAAAATATACCATTGCGAGCTTAAATAGACCAAGGGTCGCAGTCGTCGTTTATAACAAAGGAAGGCAAATCAATCACAATTCAAATGAACAAAAATTGATGCCATAACAACTGGAATCGTTGCAAAAGAAATAAGCTCTATAAAAAATAGTGTTAGCATAACAATTACATCAAAGCAATGAATTTTCGGTTACCACTACGGCTTACGTTCTGGAGAACCTGACAAAAATCCTGCTACAAGACAAAAGTACATAAAGACAAATGGGAGCACCTTAAGAACATAGAGTTAGCAGACCCTGAATTTGTAAAACCAGCAAAAGTGATCTTATATTAGGGTCAGAAGTCATTGGAGAAATATTGCTTAGTGTAATAATAAAAGGACAATCATACTATCCAATAGCTCAGCAAACAGTCTTTGGATGGATTGTAAAGCGTCCTGGAGCAATGAAAACCCTTAAAAACAGCTTGATATGTCATGTTGCACTTGATGATTGATTACATTAATGCACAAGTCAAACAATTCTGGGCCGCCGAAGAAATTCCGAAAGTTAAATGCTGAAAGAAGATGAAGAATGTGAAGCATTTTGAAGTAACTACTCAACGTAATAACGAAGGGAGAGATATAATGCCCGAATCCCCTTTAAAGAAGAGTAAAGCAGCATTGTTTAATAACGCCAGTATAAAAAGAGCAATCGCACGCCTAATTAATATAGAAAAACAGTTCGCAAGAAACCAAAAACTTGACTATAAAGCAGCATTGTTTAATAACGCCAGTATAAAAAGAGCAATCGCACGCCTAATTAATATAGAAAAACAGTTCGCAAGAAACCAAAAACTTGCCGAAAGTTACAAAGCATTTATGCCAGAATATGAGAACCTAGGCCATATGAAAAGATGTGATATAGACAAAATGAATCATACTTTTTACCACATCATGCAGCTATAAAAGAAGAAAGCGCAACCACGAAACTTTGTATTTGATGGATCCAGTAAGTCGCAAAACAATATAAGTATCAATGATGTCATGAGGACAGGGCCTTATCTTCAACAAAATTTAACTTCCGTTATAACCCGATGGAGAAAACACAAATAATTTTATACGGCAGACATTGAAAAAATGTATCGCCAGACTTTAATCAATGACGAAGACAGGAATATGCAAAAAATTGTCTGGAGATATTCACCAAATGATCCGATTCAAGAGTATACGTTAAACACAGTTACCTACGGAACCGCTGCAGCTCTATATTTAGCAATGAAAACTCTGCTAAAACTAAGCACAGATGAACAAAATACGTTTCCAGTGGGAGCAAAAATCTTACGAACCGTAGAATCTTATGTATGTAGATGATGTTATGTCAGCTAGCGATACAGTTGAACAAGCCGCACAAGGCAAATTGCAACTTGTAAACATTCTAAAAAGCGCTGGCTTTAGACTTCACAAATGGGCAGGTAACAACCCACAACTCGTAAACAATACAATCTCGACAAAATGCGTTGAAATGGGAAATATTCAAACTGGGTCACGTAAAATATTAGGAGTACGATGGTACACAAAAGAAGGCGAATTTAGAATAATAATCGCCCTGCCGAGCAAACCAAAATAAATCACAAAAAGGGTTGTACTCTCCGAAATTTCCAGAATTTTTGATCCACTTGGGTGGGTAGCTTTTCTACATTTAGCTTTTCTACATTTCAACCAAACCACTTGAACTTCATGGGTTTGTCACGTTTCAGGAAGAGCATATACCGGAGTAGTATACTCACGACTGCACCAAAACGGTTATAAATTGACATTAATCACCGGCAAAACAAAGTTGGCATCGTCTTCGCAAAAACTTTCAGTACCGCGACTAGAACTAAAGGGAGCACAATTACTAATTAAACTGCGTAATGGTTGAAGATGATTTAGAAATCAAATATAGTACTTTATGTATGGACTGAATCCCAAGTAGTACTCTCCTACCTCCAGGAAAACCCAAGTAAGTGGAAAACTTTCGTTGCCAATCGCATTAAAATCATTTAGCAATCACCAAGGAAGATTATTTGGAATAACGTTAATACGACTGAAAATCCCGCTGACTTGGCGTCAAGAGGAACCTGTCCGAAACAAATGATTGAAAACAAATTGTGGTGGTCAGGACCAGAATGAATACAAAATGATACAATAAATGTAACAGAGAAGGCACTTCAACCACAGTTGGGGTTAAAAATAAGTTCCCTCACGTTAACAAGAACACCAATCACAACTCTTTCCATTGAAAGATTTTCATTATTACCAAGGCTACAAAGAACTATCGCTTTCTGTCAAACATTTTGTTATAATACAAAAAATCCAAAAAGGAAGAATTTAGGACAACTAACAACAACTGAATTGGAAACTGTACTGTATTCTATAATCAAACTAGAACAAACTGTCCATAACACAGAAATTAGCTTTCTAATAAAAAACAAGTTACTGCCTATTAATAGCAAGGTATTAGAGCTTCGCCCATTTTTGGAAAATGGTATATTAAGAGTGGGAGGCAAACTACGAAGAGCAAATATCGACGACAACTCCAAACATCCTATTATAATACCAGGTTCTAGTCATTTAGCGTCATGAATAATAGACTACGCACACCAAAAAACACTTCATGGAGGGAAGGACTTAACCATGTCATGGATCCTGGCAAAATTTTGGATTACCAACGGACTTCACAAAGTAAAAAAACGAATAGCGGAGTGTGTCGTTTGTCGCAGATACAACGCACGCCCAAGCACACAACTTATGGGGGATCTACCTACAGCTAGAGTAACTGTTTCCTAACCGTTCAACACGGGTGTTGACTTTGCTGGCCCAATACAACTAAATCGAGCACGTTGCGTAACGCCAAGCTAATGAAAGTTTACATTTGTGTGTTTGTTTGCTTTGTAACTAAAGCGTTTCACCTTGAAGCCGTATCAGCCCTATCCAGCGAGGCCTTTATTGTCGTATTAGAGCGATTTATTGCAAGACGAGGAAATGTGGCACATATTTACAGTGACAATGGTACAAACTTTGGAGGAGCATACAATCAGTTAAAAACCAACGCGAAATTGGGGCATTTTATATCAGAACAGTCAATTAAAAGCATTTTATTCCTCTGGGCACTCTCCATTTTGGTGGACTATGGAAAGCGGGAGTCAAATAGAACACTATGTAAATAGCACCATCATTTATGTAATCATACTAGCACTTGTATTATTGTTCATTACCACAAAATGGAGAGCACAACAACAAATTCCACAGCATAAACTCGAGCTAGTAATCGTTTATCTATGACGGCTGAATTCTAAATTTCTTATTATTATTTTCCCATTTATTTAAATTACCAAAATGGCTAAAATTGCTAATTTGTCAAACTTAATATTTAGTTAATGTAAATATTTTCCCATACATACCTTTCTCACAATATTTGAGTAGGAGTCAAATTACATTTATTTTGTTTGTTAATTTTACTTTAAGTAAATTTGAAACCTATATGATGTATGTTAAGTTAATAATTTTATTTATGCCTAAACATTTTCTTTATTTGAAAAATTTATTTCTGTATTTGAAAAATTTTTTTCTGTATGTTTACCCCCATGATTTAATAATTATGTCTTTAAAATGTATTTCTATATGCCAAACCACAGTTTTGAATATTATTCTTAAAAAAAATTAGAAAGCTTTAAGAAAATATACATACATATTTATGTTCCTAAAATTTTTGCGAATTTTCCCAAACTACGAGTATCATAACAGTTTTTTTTTTGAAGTTTTCTTGAAACTTTTATAATAATATTTATCTGTTATATATTAAAAAAGGAGACAAAGGTTGGCATGGGTTCTAGTCGGTTTCACATTTTCCTAATATGTGAAGCTGTAAATGCTAAGAAAGGCCCTCTGGAAACATCAGCACTGCCAACAATCCCGACTCTCACCTCAAAGAAGGTAGGTAACATAGTTATTTGCCGGGTGTCTCCTGGGAAACTTACTTAGTAAGGCTGACGAGAGCGGGTGAAAGCGAGTACTCGGCGCTTAATCCGGGTTTCGTTGGTTAAGAAACGCGCGGGCTGTAAATCCAGAAGCGTTTGACCCGGAATAGGCGGCTCCCTGATCTGCGTCTGATCCCTGAGGGCGGCAGTTCTTGAATCCTGGCAGGAGGTGTAAAATGCAAATGTTAATCATTTGTGCAGTGGGGAAAACGAAAGGATTTAGTACCCCAGGTGGTAATCCAACTACGGTGGAGAATGCACCCTCTTCGGAGGTCGGCTCTACGGACTCTGGGGTGAGCCATTTTTTGCATTTGATTGATCAGTTCAAGAGGAACGCGAAAACCCGCCGTTCACCACCTACATCTGATGTACGGATTTTAGAAAAGAATAAAACTATACAAGGTGGACTACCGAACACTCAAGCTCCACAAACCAAGAAGGAAATGAACATGAGTAAAGCGCAAGCCAAAAAAAGTGATGATCAGAATGCTGACATATATAAAAGGATTAGCCAACTAGAATAGCTCTGCGTGGCTTTGGAAAACGAGGTTCTTCACTAGAAGACTGAGATAAAGAAGCTAAAGAAAGAAACATGGGCAAATTAAAAGGAATAAGTCTAATGATAGTAGTCACAAAGAAAAAGACGTTACATCACAAGCAAAGCAGGTGAGGTAAATCTTAGACGTCTACTCAACAGATGAGATAGCCAGGAAAACAGATTGAATCCTAAAGCAAAAGAGGCCCAGTAAACAAAGAAATCGGAATCATCTCCGGAAGTGGTCTAGGTGACGATCAACGCTGAGAAAGCGGAGTGACGTGAGTGTTTTGTATAAAATGCAAAATATGATGCAGAGCATCCTAGATATGATGGATAAAATCTCTCAGAGGTTAAGCATTTTGAAGAGCGAAGGAAAAAATGGAATACCAAAACACATATGACTTTAAGAAGCAGGATTCAGTTTCGAGGTTATAGAATTTACAACTCTAACCACCCTGGAAATATAGCGAAGGGCGGATCAGCGATAATAATAAAAGAAAATATAATGCATTGTGATGTGCACCAGATGTGCAACCGAGGGAGTGCAAATGACGGCAGTTCAGATCACTTCGACTAAGCAAAAATTTAGAGTCGCTGCATTGTATTGTCACCCCAGAATTAAAAAACGGTAGAAATGTTTCAAAACGTTTTGGACGACCTAGGCGACAGATTTATATTGGGGGGTGACTTTAATGCCAAGCACACTGATTGGGGTTCGAGACATACTTCAACTAGAGGAAGAGAACTGAGGACAGCAATTGGCGGCCCGGGTGCCTTTTTCACTCTACTTCATTGAGGTACATGATAACTATGATCTGAACTCCGATCACTCGGTGGTTATTCTTAAACTTAAGGAAAATATTGTAATGAAAAGAGTGAAACCTGCGCTGACAAATGGAACTACAGATTGGTCAAGATTTAGTTTAGAGAATGAACGACAAATGGATCTAAGGAAAAGAATAAGAACAACCCAGCATATAGATGAGGAAGCCGAAAATTTTACTAAAATTATTCAAAATGCGGCTTGGAGTTGTTCGAAAATTAATGCTATTAGAAGGGTTGGCATTAACTATCCTCCACAATTACTAGCAAAAGTAAGGCAGAGCAGGGGATAAGATATAATCGTGAATCGACGTTGTATTAGAAAATACAAGGAGGATTCGGTGGCCGTTTATGTTAAAAATTTGACGGCATGTGAGAAAACCAATTACTCACTGTGGAGGGCAACAAAGAAAATGAAGCAACCTATCAAACATCTTGCTCCTATTAAAAACAAAGATGGAACGTTGGCAAAAACTGACAAAGACAAAGCAAATGCGAATCCTTTGGCCGATATATTCTGTCCACATGACAGCCAAGTCTTGCATGAGAATGAGGAATCTGCTTTTGTTGGGGATAGGGTGACTATTACAATTGTCAACAAATGAGATATTATAGAGGAAATCAGGACTCTTAAATCTAGAAAGGCTCCGGGCTTTGACCTAATAACGGCCGATATTTTGAAAAAATTACCCAAAGGGGGTGCAACGATGCTGATGCGCTTAATAAATGCGTGTATAAGGTTTAATTGCGTGCCTGATATTTGGAAAGTTGCAGAGATAATTATGCTGCACAAACCTGGCAAACCTATAAACGATCAATTTGGTTTTCGAAAAAATCACTCAACCTTGGATCAGTTCATCAATTAACTGACCTGATAGAAATTTCACTGGAAGAGAAACATATGTTCTATCATATTTTTGGACCCAGGCCTTTGATAAGGTGTGGCATTGTGGATTAATAAAAAAAATTAAACAACTACTGCCAAGGTTAACGTGTTCGACTAACACGGTATTTCGAGTTAAACAGGAAGAGGAGTACTCTTCGCGTAGGGATATCAGAGGGGGGGGGTAAAAATGGACTAGAAAGGGGGAAAAAAACTTAACGAGGTGAAATCAGTACACGTGAATTTCACTGATAGAAAAATTGACAATTCATTTTTGGTTCAGATAAATGGCTTCTTAATTTCTTTCGCAAACGCGGGGAAGTACTTGCGTTCTTCATTATCAATATACAACAATATGCGCTTACAGTATTCAATTATGGGCCTGCGCTGTACAGATAAATAATTAAATAAGTTGTTCCGGTTCATATTTTCAAAAAAATATTTTGAACAATACGTCGATATTGATTTTTAAGGGCAAAACCTTTTAAATTCATTTAAAAAAAAAATAAAATTATCAACAAAAAAAAGTTCACCTGGCAAATCGCACTTTTCAGGGTTTGAACCTGGGACTTTTTGCATAGAAACCGTATGCTACACGCATTACCCTATATAGTATTAGTGTTAATTCATTATATATTCACGCGTTTTTAGTGGCGAATTATTTTATGTAAACTATTTTATATTCGCTTAAAGTGCTTGTTGTCAAAGGTATTTTACGATTTTATGAGACATAACTCAAAGCGATGTTCTAAAATAAATTACTCAAAAGATATTAGATCTCAAAGGAACTAATTATTTGTTTAATTATGTACTTTTTCGTAATTATTTTTAATGGTCTTATTTTAAAATTTATCTTATAAAATATTAAGAAAAAACATATCCATATGTATATTAGGAGCGTGGTTTTGAAGAAAAAAAGGAAACTGGAAGTATCTCAGGCACAGAATGGAACACAATTACAAAACTACAGACATAATACTTGCAAGAATTACAATGCAAGCACACAAGACTAGTATAGTATACACATATCTAAATATTAATAATAACTATAAGAATGATCAAATTACTTACCGTTATTGTTGGCACTGAAAATAAATACTGTTCTGTATCTTTTTTGTCAGTTATAAATGGGTTTTCTTTAGCTTCATCAGCACATTCTTCGGACGCAAATAGTATAATCCATTGCATCGTATATAATAATTTAGTTTCAGCGGCCCCAATAGGTTGCATATCCCTCACCCTAAGGTTTGAAGCAAAAAAAAAATTATTTAAAAAACATATTTTTCATAAAATTTTATTTTAACCTATTATGTAATAGTGCAGCAGCGCAGTGCATAACATGTGGTAATGCGGCTTGCAGTAAACGCCATCTTGAAATTGCTTTTAAACCGTTAGTCAAAGATGGTGATAATCCAAATTGAATATTTTGCACTAAAACTTTTTCAAACGACTTAAATTAAAACAAATGAAAATTTAATAAATTGAAATGAAATACCTTGAATTAATTTATTATGACTTTACCTTACAAGCTTCTTTTAACTCCTGTTTTTAGTTTGAATTATTTTGCACAAGTATAAGTAATGGAACGAAATAAATTAAAGAAACTTATGAATAATTTTTTTTTGATTAAAAATTAATAAATGAATTACAATCATATGAACGGGGCGATTCAGTAATTAGTGCTTTAACAATTATAATCGCTTAAGACATCAAAAAATTTAAAAATAAAATTTTTGTTCTGAACTAAGTGTCAAATCATACGGTTTCTGAAATACAGGCATTTAAAAGGATTTTCAGAAAATTTCTACTTGTCTGAGACTGTTGAAATTTCGAATGCCATGAAGTTTTGAAACCCAGTTCTCCTGAAAAGTTTAATAGTTTTTGATGCCGTAAACAATGGTGAATATTAAAGCACTGCATACTGAGTCACCCCGTATACTATACCAATATAACGGTATAACATTATATATATTGTATTTATAGAATAATGTAAAATATTCCCAAGTTTATAAAAGTAAAAGTAGAGCTTTTATATATATTTATTATTTTCATTTAAACTTAAAAAGGAATTTAAAAAAAAAATGAACCAACAAATAATATTACAATAATAACACGCCAAAAATATATGTATTTAAATTTTTCACACTGAAACAATGCCTTACTTATTAGTTTACATGTATACTCATATGACAATAATGTCACGTTGCATGATTGTTTCGTAAACGTAATTGTAGTGTTACGATAAAGCTTATGTAATTTTAATTACCTTGAAATTCGTATTGCATATAGACTATCACGCCAAAATATTATTATCAAAACTTCAAAAATGTAATTTTTTTAAGGTTTTTTAATAAAGGAAATGAATAAGAAATATTTCGCATAATACTATTGGAATCTCAAAAGAATTGTCTTAAAAAATTTCTCAATATCAGGTTAACATTATATTTTTAAATAAAATATTCTCAATATTATATATGTATTATGTGTGTGTAAAATATACATATATGTATATTATTATCCTTATTTATGTTCCAAATAAAAATATTTAACACATATATTTTTTTAATTTTAACAAGCAATCTCTAAATAATAATTTTAAGTTTAAAATTTATACTTCAACTTAAACACAACTGTTTAAGTTGTTGACGCTGTCGTTAATTTCATTGCATTATTAATAGAACTGCTTCTTTTCTCCGAAAAAAGGCTGTTAACCTTGGAAGCTCCCAAATAGTGGTGATCTTGAATTAAATGGATACCTTTACACATTGACCTCTGGAATCATACTTTTGCCAAATACTCTTAAGATAAGGAAAGTAGACATGGCGATAAAAAATTAAGAAAATGTGTTAAATGTAAACGTTCGAATCCATGAACAATATTTTATATCCTAATAGGATTAGAATAGGATTATTAAAGGAAGGAGTATCTTTGTTTTTATCTAACTTGATATGCCTACAATATTCGTATAATAAAAAAATCTTAGTGAAGGTAAAAACTTCAGGTAAGTCTCTTTCTCCTGCCGAGCATTGTCAAATTTAAATTGACATTTTAGTGCCAAATTTTCTTTTAGTTCTTTTTATTTTCGTTTAGTTCTTATAAAGACAATATTGAAATAAAATTAAAAAACCATAATTTATATTTATACTATTTACTGACAATTATTAATTATTACAAATTTAAAATTTTTTTAAATGTTATTTTAAAAATTTTAATAATTTTTTTTTATTTTAACACTCTTTTCCTTTTAATAGCCCGGCGGATTGGGTTACGAAATATCCGCAATAAGGTATGTAAAACTCCGAAATAAAACAAAACACATGCAATAAACAAAACACAAGGATTGTATACCCCAGGTGGTAATCCAGTAATGCTGGAAAATCCACACTCTTTGGAGGTTGGTCGCATGCATTCTGGAAGAGACCACTTATTGCATAGTACATCGGCGTTGATGGACCCTTTTGGAAGGAGATCGAGGGTCATGAGATCACCTCCATTGGTGATTGCCGGCAAAAATGACAGAGCTAAGGATGGTAACTCTGAGAAAAATAAGTCAGCAGAAGACAAAATAATGGAAACCTAAAAGGGTAATATAATAAAGCATCTTATACAGGAGAGTAAATTAGATACTCAGGTCTCAAGAATAACCGAGTTAGAGAGTCTTTGTAAGGTGCTATAAATCCACATCTAGTCTAGATTATGTAATTAAAATCGAAAGGAAAAAAGAAAATTAAAAATATATTTCTTTAAAAATTCCGATCTTTATGTTGTCTTTTGCCCATTCGGAAGAGATAACCAAAATCCATAAAATAGATCACTTACAGCACATTAGAGTGAAAACTGAAGCTCTTAGAAGCAGTAAGTCCATTCTGCAATGCAAAAGATGCCAGAGATTTGAGCACATATAAAACTTTTGCCAAAGAGAGGCTAAATATGTAAAATGTGCTGGTAATCCTATGACAGTAGAGTGCAACAAGAAGCATAATTTTCAGCTCAAATGTGCGAACTGCAATGAGACGCACCTTGCTAGCTATCGAGGTTGTTTGGGTGCAAAATAATTGCAAAAAAGAAGATAGGTAAAATCAAGTTAAATTTAATGAGCAAAAAGCTCCAAAAATAGCTAAAATAATAACACCATAAATGTAATAACAACATAATAAAGTGTTAAAGGGAGGTATCATATTCAAAGGCGCTTCAATGCCAAACAGGATATAGGAATAATAATAAGGAACCTGAGAACAAAATCTCACAATTGACGCAGACCTTATCCAAATGATGCATAGTATGTTGATTAGAATTGATAAGATCTCTAAAAGATTATTAAAAATAGAAAATAGATACATTGAGGTGTATACGAGAACTACAAAGAAATTAAGGGAAGATGTACGCAAATGAAATACATACAGTAACCTGGAATGCTAATGGTGTTGTTAATGAGAAACATGAATTAAAGATTTTTCTCAAAATGAGAAATACAAATATTTGTTTGCTTTTGAAGGCTCATTTGATATATAATACGGGTCATAAAATAAAGGGTTATGATTGCTATAAATCGGCACATCCTAGCAGTCAGCCGAGAGGAGGTAGTGCAATACTAATAAAATTATAAAACATAACGAGAAATTGTTTGATAGAAATAATTTTTCATTATATTCTATACTTTTATGTTCTCTGATGTTATTAACTTTTTTATAACTAAAAAAAATCAGAAAACTTTCATAGCCTTGAAGATAATTATGATTTTAATTCAGATCCTTTTGCTGTCATATTAAAACTAAATCAAAAAATAAGTAGAGCATTATATAAACCCGCTTTGACAAACAGCACTGCAGATTTGGCTTTAATAGCTTTAAATACGAAATAATAAACAATTTTGAAGTAACTAATAATATACAATCCAGAGAACAATTAGATCTTGAGCTAGAGGAATTTACATAAACAATACAAAAATGTCAAAGTACAAACCGACAGCAAATGGTTATCCTAAAGCAATAACGGATCTAATAGGTCAAAAGAGAAGTACCAGACGTAAAAGGCAACCTTCGCGTCAACCTGATGGTAAAACTGTTTTAAATAGACTTTCTCAGGTGCTTAAAAGAAAAATCCAAGAATTTAAATCGGTAACATATGAAAATTATATAAAGATCTTGTCAGTTAGTTAGAAGGAAACGAATTATTCCTAATGGAACGAATAAATGCAAACGGAATAACATCGGATGTGAGTTTAGTAAAATCTATCGTAAATGAAGCAAACAGCGTAGCTCTGCTTCCTCAAGTAGAAATTGCGGAGCAGATAAGATCCCTGAACTTGAGAAAATTGTCACGTTTTGATCTTATTACTGCGGAAATACTGAGAGAGCTACCAGACGAGGTATTGAAACATCTGATGAAAATCATGAATGCAGCTATAGATTTTGAGTATGTAGCTTGTGCTTGAAAAGTGGCAGAAGTAATTATGGCGTCCAAACCCGGCAAATCCGTGAGGGAAATAAAGTCTTACAGGCCCATATAGAAAATAGGCACCTTATATCAAACCATCAGTTTTGATTTAGAAGAAACAATTTTACAATAGATCAGGTAAATAGAATAACGATTATTCTAAAAAAAATTTTAGAAAACAAAGTAATCTGCTCTTCTATATTTCCAAACGTAGCACAAGCATTCGATAAGATATGGCACAGAGGCCTTGTATTTAAGTTAAGACAAATGATGCTATCACCATTTGTAGCAATTTTGGAATCTTACAGATAGATTAGATGATAGATTATTAAGAATTAAACAAGACCTTGAACACTCCACGGTAAGAGAAATAAGATCAGGTGTGCCTCGAAGCGGTAAACTGCGCCTAACGTTGTAATTGCTTTACTCGAGTGATCTACCACAAATAGAAAACCCTACGGTGGCCCCCTTTGCTGACGCTACTACAATATTGGAAGCAGTATCGAACATTGACGATTCGACAAAAAACTACAGGAGGCAGTGGATGAAAGATTGGAAAAGAAAGTTGAATAAAGCAAAATCGGTTCACATAAACTCACCAACCGAAAAATAGTAAATCCACCACATATTAACTTAAATGAAACGAACGTAGCAATCCATAACTCAGCAAAATAGGAATGACTTTAGATGTTAAGCTACTCCTTCGTCGGGAATCTACCTTGTCGTGGTGAAGGGGCTGAATTAGGACCACTTGCGGTCTGAAAGCGAAGAGGTTCCCAAGGACTTAGAGTATGGGAAATAGCCAATCTCTAATAAGTCCCAGACCATAGAGTAACGGCACCAGCCAATCCTTAATAAGTTTCAAACCCAAGCCATGGTGAGACACGTGCGCCGTGGGCTGATTGTCCAAGAGAACAATACATGGTCGCTAGCACGGAACTCCCGATACCGGGGGCCCTCCGGTTTAAATAAATGACTTGCCATGGTATTAGGTTTTGCCGTGGTCGACCGTCTTTCCTCATTTCAATTCCTACAGCGTACGGATAAAAGAAAACAAAACCTTCAGGGAGGTGCTCTTTTTTTAACACACTAGAACCAAACAACGA